ATCGATCCTGTGTTGGCGTCTCCTGTTCAGATGGTGGACTGCAGTTTGGTGGGTCAGAAGCAATGCTCCCTGTAAGGTGTGGAGTCTGGCTCCTAGCGCTGGCATTCAGACGTTTGGTGCCCGTCTAGATGGAGGTTCCTTTCAGACACCACGGCAAGTAGTGCTTGATGGATCTCTCCTCCATGAAGCTATCTAAACCCCCTTTGGAAGCCATCTTCGTTCGTGGCCATCACGATGTCCATCAGCAGAATAAAAGCAGAAGCTTCAAGCAGTCTTTGAGCGGCCACAGGCAGGGATCATTTCCTGCGGGAGTGCAAAGGAGCGGAGCTCCGGCAGTAAGGAGCCCAGGGGGCGGGCACATGCAAAAAGCCCCTCCCCCTGCTCCCAGCAGCCCTCAGTTGGGCCACTAGGAACAAGAAGCAGCCAGGTAAGTTGCAGAGCCCCCCCAGCCCGCCTTCAGGTACAAGCTCTCCCTCTATATCCTAAACTCCCTCCTCTGTGAGGACAGATCTGCACATTCCCCCCCCCCCCAATACCTCGCAATCCAAAACAGTCCAGTGGAGCCTGAGCGTTGGGTGTTGCCTTCTGACACACTTCCGGTGATGTCATGGGGTGTGGCATATGCAAATAAGTTATGCTAATTTGCTCCTGCACCTCTTTTTCTACGAAATGACCCCTGGCCACAGGACTCCCCTTCGACCTGACCGGGATGGCCTAGGCTAGCCTGATCTCATCAGATCTGGGAAGCGAAGCAGAGTCAGCCCTGGTCAGTGGTTGGATGGGAGACCCCCCAAGGAAGCCCAGCGTTTTACTCAGAGGCAGGGAATGGCAAACCACCTCTGTATGTTTCTTGCCTGGAAAACCATTCCAGGTCACCCTAAGTCAGCTGTGACTTGACGGCAAGTGAAAAAATTCTGACTCGTTCCCCGTTTGTTGTCAGATATAAGCCCTGACCTGGATGGCCGAGGCTAGCCCAATCTCATCAGATCTCAGAAGCTAAGCAGGGTCGACCTTGGCTAGTATTTGGAAGGGCAACCTCCAAGGAATACCAGGGTCGTGACCGATGCTCCCTCTAAGCTGTGGGGTCTTGTGAGCAAAAATTCTGTGAGCTACTGGCATTAAAGGTGTGAGCCAGCGGCTTGGCTGCTGCACAAATCAGTTTGCTCTGGAGCCTTCCTTCCTGAGCCAGGACAAAAAGGTGTGAGCCGGAGGCTGAAAAACTGTGAGCTAGCTCACACTAACTCAGCTTAGAGGGAACCCTGGGCTTTCCATCATGCGAGCTGGACTTCCGTTCGCCGGCTAACACTGCTCCACCCCACAAGGGGGGGGTCAGTGTGCCCACTCGCTCTAAGGAGTGGTACCCATTTTATCTACTCGCCGAAGCTTTCGAACCACTGGGTAGATGATGATGATGATGATGATGTCATATACAAACCATGTAGGATTGCCAGTTCCTCACCCAGAGGTGGCACATTTAAATGCTTTGAAACAGTTGCCGCCTCTGCCTCTTACCCTGCTCCTCCACCAGACCGCTCCCTCCCTTGGCCTGTTAGGGCCAGGAAGACTCTGATTTTGCTATTTAGCAGGCCGGTGAACCAAAGAGGTAGGCGGTGGAGCTCTGTTTGCATCTTTATAGCCTGCTTTTACCTGGTCAGTTCATCCCACTCAGCGTTTCATGTTGGTTTTGTTCTCTGGCTGGGTTCTTAATACTGGGTTTTAATCGGTAACTTTTATAATGTTGTATGTTTTTATGTTTTATAATGTTTCATTGGCAGTCTTTAAGCCAGCGGCTGGACAAACCCTTGTCAGGGATGCTCTAGGCCAGTGGTGGCGAACCTATGGCACGGTGCCAGAGGTGGCACTCAGAGTCCTCTCTGCGGGCACTGCCATGGCCCCAGCCAGGCCCAGACCATCATTAAAGTGTCGAATTCTCTGCCAAATAATTTAAAGTAAATGAAAGCATTTGGGATTGCTTTCCTTACTTTGTTTGGATCATCTTAAGTTAATGTATGAGTTGTTTTTTCTAAAGTAAAACCTCAGTATTCGGGTTAAATTGCCGTGTTGGCACTTTGCGATAAATAAGTGGGTTTTGGGTCGCAGTTTGGGCACTCAGTCTCTAAAAGGTTCGCCATCACTGTCCTAGAGCATCGTGATATCAATCAGCATTGCTGTCCCCTCCATTCCCCGCCCCACCACTCAACTGAGCAAGTGCATGGGACATGGCAGTATCAGCAAGAGGATTCCCATCACAGGCAGGTAAGTGGCAACCCTATTCTGGTCAAATTTCCATGGACTAATAGTGAAGAAACTACATAGGATTTTAATGGCAGTGCCTTGTCCCTTCAGAAGCTTCTCTATCGGGGACATTTTGTGGAGGATTTTTAAGCAGGGGGTGGGACGAGATGGCCTGTAGGGCCCCTGCCAGCTCTGTGATTCTATGTTATTACTTCTCATGTCCTTACATTTTGAGTATGTTTTATTTATTTATTTATTCATTCATTCATTCATTTATTGGATTTATACCCTGCCCTCCCCGCCGAAACAGGCTCTGGGTAGCTTACATAAAAGCGTTAAAACAGGCCAGAAAATATAGATCAGCATCATTATAAAAGTATATTAAAAACAATGCTTTATGCGGCGAGAACTGCAATAGCATCAAAATGGAAGAATCCAAGCTCACCCACTATCCAGGAATGGTTCCAAAAACTTTGGGACCAATATATAATGGAAAGTATTACTGGAAAATGTAATGCTGCAAAAACCGGCCAGCCCGATTTGAGGTTTAGTGCAAAGTGGTTTCCTATTCTTACCTTCTTAGAAGCAGAACAATACATACCACCCTCTTGGAAGAAATATATTGATTGGCTCTGAAGGAAGTCGAAAGGTAGAATATGTCTTAATAGGGACATGTGGATATATCCTATTACAGATAAGATTAAATTATAATAGGTCAATAATCTACACAGTGAAAAGTAGTGTTAAAAGGTTGGTCAAAGCTTAATATTTACCTGATTTATTGTTAAAGAATCTTCTTCTCCGAAATATAATGATATCCAGTACAATATTGAGTTTAGTTAAATGTTGATTATATATTTGTTCTTGATGATTGATGTATAGATTATGTTGTTATTAGTACTAGCTAATTTTTGTTAAAATTGAAGTGGTTTTATCTTACTTTAACAGTTGTATGAATTTTTAATACTTCGATAAAAAAGTGTTGAAAATAAAAAAACACAAAAAATCTAAAGTGCAATGCATACACATATCCCTATGCGACGGCAGTCATAATCCAGTGTTTTCGTAACAGAAGTCAGTCAGTACAGACTTAGATGATGCAAACAATCCCAGGTAGGCTCCAAGTTATCAGGATGTTAAGTGTGGTCAAATGCCTGGTGGAAGAGCTCCGTCTTGCAGGC